TTTTATTTTTTCTGAAAAGGTGGTGTCTATTTACTTGTGACCACGCTGTGTATATTTAGTAATTTTGAATGCTAAGGTTAACAGTGTGGTATAGTGGTAAATAATAATCAGGTGCACTGGTTACCCTTAGAGTAATCGAATAGGTTCTGCAGGTTAACATGAGGTTATGGAAAGTTGAACTGTTCTCTGACTTTTGACTGAATTTTGGAGAGAAAAACGGACAAAAGACTGAATACAGTGTATGTGATAATGTAAAACAATCTTTATTGATTCACACAAGCAATAAAAATAAACGTATTCACTTCATTAAGACTGCGCCGTTACTGTTGGTTTGATAGCAGTCAGTGAAGAAGTAGTAGTGTCAGGAGCAGCGTAACTAAAAAAGATGCCCCCTTCCGCTATAATTGTAGCTACGACTCTGGGTGATTGATATCATTAACTTAGCTGAAAATTCAAAATTAAACCCAACTTAAAATTGCATGAGTTTATTTTCCTATTATACATGTGTCAAATTTTGGGCTAGTGGTCATGAGTTTACACGTTAGTGAAAGCGAAGTACAATAAAGTAATTCTCCTGCATCGTTGTGAAACAACATGCAATCGTCCCTTCCATAATTTTATAGTTAATAAGCCATTTCAGTAATGCACAGTTCACTAAAATGATGAACTTTCTACCACACAGTAGTGTTTGACAAAGAAGCCCTCAACTGGAAGCAGTTCCTAGTCGTGCAGTATCTGTGCTCAGGAGCTATGAGCATGTGACTACTATATACAGTTACACATTTTATTTCACCCTAAAGATGTAATAACATTATTGCTGGCATCAGTCTAGCAATCATTTACAGTCCCATTGTGCTGCAATGAAGTTATATCAAGTTGGTGCACCAATGGAAAGAGTAGCTTTTGACATTGCTGATTCTTGGCCCCAAACTCGTGCTGGAAACAATTACATTTGTGTGGTGATGGATTATTTCACCAAGTGGCCTGAGGCTTATGCAATACCAAATCAGTTGTTTGGCATACGAGAGACCAGGTCAACGCCACTTTACCACAGTCTGATGGGATGTTAGAAAATTACAACTGGACACTGGGACAGGAATTGACAAAGTTTTGTAATAGCCGCCAAGATGACTGGGATGTCTTACTCCCTCTGCTGTTGATGGCCTATAGAACAACAGAGCATGAAGCCACTGGATACACTCAGCAAAACTGTTGTTTGGTCGGGAACTTCGGTTGCCAGTGGATCTGATAACAGGACGCCCACCTTACGAAGAGTTGCCTGAAAATGTGTCACAGTTCGTGAAAGTGTTATCTGAAAGGGTGGATGATACTGACCATCAACTGCATT